TTTCTTTTTTTCTGTTTAAATATTGTTCCTTTTTGTGTGAATTTCGATTCCCAATTGTGAATTTTAGGGTTTTTCTGATTGGTGTCTTCTCTCTTTTGATTATTCTGTAGTTGTTTTCCCCCAATTTACTTTTATTTTTATTTTTATATTTGATTGGGGGTAAGACCATCTCCAACCCTTGGGTTAAAAGCCAAATTTTTTAGCCCGAAAAATTTAGCTTTTAACCCAGAAACATCTTTTCTGCTTCAACCCTTCTACCCTAAAATTTTAGCCCGGAATTATTAAAGAATGAAATTAGCCTAAATTTTTTTCTTAAATCAATTTTTTTTTTTAAATATGTAGATTATTGTAAATTAATTTTATAAACATTTTAATCTAAAAATATTTAAATTCCGATAAACATTTCACATTTAGCCCGGGGGGAAAGCTTGGGGGTATTTGGCCCAGAGATAGCATTTGGCATTTAGCCTAAAATTTTAGTATGGGTTGGAGAGTGTTTGGGGGGGGGTAATTTGGCTTTTAGCCCAGAGTTGGAGATGGTCTAAGGGTAAATATTGTTCCAATTTACTTTCAGAATTTCACCTTTTGTTTTTATTTTATTTTAATAAGGGTATGTTATCAATGATGCCGCCAAAATTAATGTTTTAATTTTTAGGTGTTAAGAAGTAATTTGGTCACCCTGGTAAGTTTTGTAATTTTATATAAGGAGATCATTTTTGTTGGATGTGGCAAATTTGTATGTCTACAAGTGCCATTTTTGCATAGTCTGAGATACTAAGTGTTACACGATTCATGATATTGAATTTCCATACATGGTAACTCAGTAACATATGTTGTGTAGTCGAGCGCATGCATGACATAGTTGTTTTCATTCTCCCTTCTTGTTGTGATTCTTATTGTGTGAACATCGATATGGTTGTTATGGTTTTTCTGATTCTTTTCTTCTCAGCCTTATATTTTAATCAGGTTTTTGGAGTTTATTTTAGTTTCAAAATTTTTATTGGCTAATGCACGCGTTGATTAAACATATTCCTGAAACAAGTTGCTCCAAGCATGGAATATCATGAATTTCATTTGCATGTTTTATCTGATTATTCATTCATAGTTATAAGTAATGATACAACAACATGAGTAGTTGATTCCTTTTTTTTTTCTTTGTTATGTAATTATTTATTCATCAAGTTAGAAGGTCAACCTGTTCACATCTTGGTGTTTGCAATATATGTTGATCTATAGTGTTGATTTGTATGCTAATTCTTAAGTAACTGGCTTGAACTTTTGTTGGTGCTAGTTGTGGCATTGTTGGGAAGAATATGTCCCATTACGCTGGTTATGTGGAGGATGAATACGAAATGGAAGATGTAGACGATGATATGGATGATGAATTTCGCGGTAGAGAAATGGGCGGCTCAGATTCTGATGTTGATGAATATGACTACTCGGTTTGTGATATACTTGCATGTCTTACTAGATTTGTCAAATATTCACTGCTTTAAGAAACTATTTATGTATAACACAATTTTACGATATGTCTTTTATGCATTCAAATTATTCAAAGTTGGTAGGAGCATTTCACTTTTCATGTTAACTGTGGTTAGTTTTGTATAGCTGGGACTAATATGTGGATCTTGTGCAGAATAGTAAAGTAGCTGATACAACTGCTGCTCAAGCAGGAAAAGGAAAAGACATCCAAGGCATTCCTTGGGATAGACTTAGCATTACTAGAGAGAAATAGCGACATACTAGGTTTGAACAATACAAGAATTATGAGAGTATTCCTAATTCTGGAGAAGGATCAGGGAAGGTAAATAACCACTGTTTTCCACTTTTTTTTTTATTTGTTATATACTTGATCGATGCTAGACGTGGCACAGAACCGAGTGCAATGACATTCTAGGATTCATACAGCCAACCCCACTTAGTGGGAAAAGGCTTTGTTGTTGTTGTATACTTGATCGATGCTGAAGTGTCAATTTGAACTGGGAAGAGTAACTTGATGTTGACTTTTTCCTCTTTGGTATACAGGATTGCAAAGATACAAAGAAAGGATCTGTATATTATGAGTTCAGACGAAGTACTAGATCAGTGAAATCAACCATTCTTCATTTTCAGGTGTGCTGGGTGCAAGCTTGCCTTATTACTTCTTGGCTATTTTCTGCATACACCACACTTAGTGGGATAAGGCTTTGTTGTTGTTGTTTGTAAATCTTTGGATGAAATTTTCTCAATCGCATATCATAGAACTGATAAGACTTATATTTACTGGCTTGACTTGTTACCTGGGGTGAGCTTTTGCTTGCAGTGCCCCTTACAATTGACAGACTCATATGGTTTATCTTTGCTTGGTAATGCAGTTGCGTAACCTGGTCTGGGCTACTTCCAAGCATGATGTCTACCTGATGTCACATTTTTCTGTCATTCATTGGTCTTCATTAAGTTGCACAAAGTCTGAGGTTCTCAATGTTTCTGGACATGTGGCACCATCGGAGGTAAGTGTTTTTAGATAACTTTTGTTCAATAACCAAGTCATTTTTGGGAACTGATCTTTCCATTCTTCCATGTAGAAACATTCTGGAAGTCTCTTGGAGGGATTTACGAGGACTCAAGTTAGTACTCTTGCTGTAAAAGATAAGTTGCTAGTTGCTGGAGGATTCCAGGGTGAACTTATTTGCAAGGTGAGTTACAAATAATTGAATTAACTAAGTAAGCAAATAAATGAATGAGTATTTATTGCACAGTTGCATACCTCTTGTGCTTATGGTGTCAACATGGCTTGGTTTGCACTTATCAGTTGTGACCTTGTACATGGTTCACCTGGACCGTAGGGGTGGTACCGGAACACACATGTTATTTATTCTTTGTTTTAGCTCTATGGGTGCTACTCCATTCCAGATGGATCTTCTGGATGACTTAACCTTCAAACTTCTGCTATCAGTGTCCATTATATGATTGACAAGACCTTTGATACACTTGACTACATTCTGTATATGGATTCTGTCATTCGGCTGTGTCCACAAGATCCCTTTTAGATTCATTTTTTTTCCCTTTGAAGAACTAATAAAGAGAAAAGCTCAATGCTGACAGATTTATCTTATCTTTGACTGCTCTGCAGCATCTTGATCGGCCTGGAGTCAGCTTTTGTTCAAGGACAACTAATGCAATAACAAATGCTGTTGAGATTTATGATAGTCCTAGGTACTTTTTTTTCCTTCATGAGATCGGGACTTCTCATTTCCAAATTCCAATCATGAACCCAACTGATATAATCCCCTTGAATTTCGCAGCGGGGCAGTTCACTTTACAGCCTCTAATAATGACTGTGGAGTCAGAGACTTTGACGTGGAGAAATTTCAGCTTACTAAGCATTTCCGTTATCCTTGGCCTGTGAATGTGAGTCTACCTCATGTCATCCAATGCTGATTTTCATTGGGTCACATTTTACTTGTGATCACTTAATGCTTCTTTTAGTCAGTTTTACTTAACTTCGAGGCACCTCTATGCTTTGTTGGCAGCATACTTCTCTGAGTCCTGATGGTAAACTTCTTGTGATTGTTGGAGACAATCCGGAAGGGATGTTGGTAAACTCTCAAACTGGAAAGGTATGTATCTCAGACTTTGACAGACTTCCTGAGCTAGGAAAGGACGGTGTGCTGATTTGTATGAGTTTCTTTGCAGACGTGATAGTGCATTTTGAAACCTAAGTAAGTTACCGTCTAGAATATGGATTTGTTTTTCCTAGCGAATCTTTACTAATCATTTGCGGAAGAAAGATCTATTAGATTTAAATTTCAATACTCCTGTAAAGTTAGAGATCTGATGAACATGTTGGAAATTTGGAATAGTAGTACTTCTGTATACTACACACTCTGACCTATAGTTCCTTTATTATTTTTTATTCATTTCCCACTACTGTTTGTCTATGTCAATATTCATTCCACTCTGTTGCACTAGATTTAACCATGATAGTCAATATAAAATCCAAACAATTGCCTGTTGTAGGGTAGGAATTGAAAGTCAATTCAGAGATAGGAGAGGTGTGATTGGCAGGGAAATGCAGAGTTGGTTGGCATTTTTATGAAAGTCAATTCAGTTGGTTTTGACATTTTAGTAAGAAAAATCCATATATAGTACGAACTGCTTTTGTCTGTTTTGATTGTTGTTGATGGAATGCGGTGATACTGTCTCTCCTGCAGTGCAGAATTATGGAGTTACTTTCTCACATTTCGTTGTGTGCTTGATTGGCTACATCATTCTCTTCTATCCTGATTTCTTTGTGGAATTAATTGATTTTTTTTAACCTCTCTTGCGTACTTGAAATTATTGTATACTTGGGTAATGCTCCATGTGCCCTGTTTAAGGAATGAAAAATGAAGTCATTGCATGTATTTTTGGAAAAAGGTAGCTAGCCATTCTCAACATTTTCCATCAAATGGAGAGGTCCTGCGTTAATGCTTACAGTTCTGTGTTGTTAAACGCACATTTCATTTGCATCTGTTTTTTTATTGCCAAATTGATTCTTTCTATGTCCCATATGCCACAATTTAATCCCTTGGTTTTTTATTCTCCGACCCTCTCGTTTAGTTCAAGCCGACCTAGGTGGTCAATGGCACCATTGATAATGCTTAGGTTGGCATGGAATCTTGATTCAGCGTGCTTTTGGTTATGTGGGTGTCTGTGGTTGAGGTTTAAACCTTATAAGTTTTTGTTTGGTTGTGAATTGACAGACTACAACAGTTCAATTAGAGTCACTTCTGTGAAAATATTTTTCCCAGTAATTTCTAACTGAGAATGCTGACAGAATGTATGGTGGTCCCATGGAAAGAATGTGTAATACAAAAAAAAAGGGAGCTGTTATTGGCAACCAAAAATACTCATTCTGCCTGGAGGACTGCAAAATGAATATTCTCCCTTATACTGTGTAGGATGATTTTTTGGAGTTCCAAAAAAGCTTTACATCCAGTTGATTTTCAAGAATGCTGTTTTTCATAAATAATGCAACCCTCTTAATCAAAATCCGTGTTCGATTTTACAGGTACTACTCTATGTATGGACATGTCGGGAGACTAGCAGAAGAAATAAAGAAAGGGGCTTCTTCTGTCGAAGGTGTAGAAGCCGCCCTTTGGCAGGTGGGTGTGCATTTTCTTTAATCCATTCATTTCACTACGAACATTTCAAGAAATTGAAGCGTATTTTTAATTGAGCATGCTGAATAAACTTTGGACTGCTGATTTTGGGAAACAAGCCATTTTAAATTAAATTCAAATTTCATGTTTTCCCATGAGTATAAACATGAGATGATTCTAAGCATTACGCCTAGTAGCCCTATGCCAAATTTTTAGGGTTCCACCTTGCGTGGTGGTTAGCTCAACATCATGACAAACATTTTTCCACGACCTGTCTCAACATTTTATGCCTAGTTTTGAGCTTTAAAATTGACCTTCCTTTAAATCCCCATACAGCATGGGTGATGGAGCTTTCTTATGCTCTCTTTGGAGTGCCAGATTAGTGTCCTTATGTTCTGTTGAAACGTCGGCATTGTAAAGATTGGTTCTCACTGATTGTCCGATGTATCAGGTTTACTTGTCTATATTTGGTGCACCTGTACATTGTATTCCATCATTTTCTGTGTCTTGCTCCCCTCTCATCTTTAGTTCTCTGTCTCAAACTGCCTCTGGTATGCTAGTTATTATATATAGCTTTGAGATTGGCAAAACTAGTATCAATCCTTGTCTAGTCTTCTCTCTAGTTTTATTTTAATTTCATCGGTAAGTCTTACAAATCATGATCTTCCTTTTATCATTTGCTTATACACAGTCGTGCACCTCCCATCTATTTCCCTGTAGATGCTAGATATGAAGACCCGGGTTCTTAGTAAAGGAAATTTTGATGTTTTTTCTCTTCTGTACCGTGATTAGTTTGTCTTCTCTATCTGGTTAACTTGATTGAACAGTAAGACTGACTATAAGGCTTATAAAACAGGTCCCTGAGACACTCCCAGAGGAGGTGCTTGGGAAAATGAGTGCACCACCAAAGAGTGATGTACCAATCATCTCGCCAAATGAACTTGCTGACGCAGATGGATTCATTTTTGGCTTCCCAACAAGATTTGGTATGATGGCTGCCCAATTTAAAGCCTTTCTGGATGCAACAGGCGGTCTATGGAGAACACAACAGCTTGCTGGAAAACCTGCTGGGATCTTTTACAGTACTGGATCTCAAGGTGGCGGGCAAGAGACTACTGCGTGAGTCTTATCACATTTAATCAATTATACGAACATTGAAAATTTGTCTACATCTTAGGTGGAGATATTAATAATGTTGGGATTATTTTTGTGTAAATAGATTGACTGCCATCACTCAGCTAGTTCATCACGGGATGATATTTGTACCCATCGGTTACACATTCGGAGCTGGCATGTTTGAAATGGAGAATATCAAGGGAGGAAGTCCTTACGGTGCAGGAACGTATGCTGGGGACGGTTCAAGACAGCCATCTCAGCTTGAGCTGGAGCAAGCATTCCACCAAGGGAAGTACATTGCCACCATCACAAAGAAGCTCAAGGGAGCTGCTTAAAGTGCACAAACATACTCAAATGGAATGCCTTATCGATTCTTTATCCCTATAGTTTCAATTTAAATTTCCGATTTCTATTTGTCTGCAAGTATAATTCTTGCTGTATCTTATATTTGTGTTTTCTATGTGTTTTATGAATTACAGTTGTTTATTAATAATTATAAAGGTTTGTTTGCTCATGATACTACCGCCTGAGAACGCTTGCCTTGATACTAAATTAACGACTTCAAGTTTTTATCCCCCAAATCAACTCCAAGATATCCATCTCATTTCTCAAAATGTTTGAACTGATGGACAAGCTTTACTATGGCGTTAGCAAAGTAAGTTTGACTATGTACCGGGATGAGATTTGGAGCGAGTTACAGGTACGTTGAGTAGGTGCGATGATGGCGGAGAGGATGATGGCAGAGAAGACCTCTCCGCTGAAGAACTCCGGTTTTGAACGTAAAGAGGTCGAAGAAGACGACTGTTGAAGAATTCGACAGATTGGCCGAACCACTATAAATTCTTGTGGTGTCGTTACTTTTGCGTGTGCGATTATCTATCTTTTTTTGTGTTTGCTTGTGTGCGTGGTCTTCATGGTCCATTGATAATTAGATTCATTAGAGTGAATCTATAATAGTTACATGTATTGGAACACCTTAAAAAATGTATCTTGGAGAGATACTAGAGAGACTTTCTCAAAGTAGGATTATCCATGGATTTTCTGTTATCTCACAGTTTAACATTAATTTATGTGCCAACATTATAAAATATTGTGCAAAAAACCATGATGTGGCAGAGAGTTCATAGAGAGTCTCACTTTTAAGAGAGTCTCTTTAGCATTTCTTTTGGAATTAATTCCATATCGAGATTTGAGGAGTACATAAAATGATAATCAGTCCCTCCTCTCACTTGAGAAAAAATTATATACTCCATGTTGTTATTCATTTCTCTCATCATTTATTTAGTTATGTGATGAGAAAAATAAAAGTGGTATGCATGATAATTTCTCTCCACTTGCATAAGCGTGCAAGTAGAGCCTATGCATCATTGATTCATTGTTGATGATTTTTTTTTTTTTACTTTTGATTAACAAGTGATTCAATGCTAATGAAAAATGGAAAGTAACACATTAAGAAGAGGACGGATCCGTGTCATTATTATTTTTACATAATTATTAACACACATGTTTATGGGGCCCATTTCGTAATCTATTTTAACGATTTGAACAGTCTGTCTTTTAAATCTTTCCTAAATGATCGTGTCTACTAAAAATCACCAAAATCTAAAACCATATAACCATTGGATTAAGGGTTTAGGATTTCTTTTATAGAACCGTATTTGTCTCTCTTTTTTTACTCAAAATGAATGTCTTAATGATTTTTTATTTATCTAATTTTTTTGCAATGATGACATATAAATGACATTCTAAAAAATAGATGGTTCGAATTATTAAAATACATTACAAGTGAACCAAAAAATAAATGTATAAAAATTTATGTGAAAAAAAAAGTGGTGCTACGGATCCACTCTATTAAAAATTGGGAAACTTCTTCGAACAAAAAATTGGTTAACTTCCAAGAGAAAGACAAAAGTAGATAAGTAGGATGCAAGATATTATAATATATCTTCTTTTGACATGTTATGCTATAATAAATAATAATGATACATTCATTGATGTTTCTTACTAAAGTGGACGCTATTGGAGATTTCTTAAAGTATAAGTTTCTTCTTTTTGTTGTGCCACTGTTTTAATAAATTCAAGGATGATTTTGCATTCCTTAAAACGGTACAAAAATCGTAAGTTACTATTATAACACTTAAAAAAATAATCGTTCACTCATTCATACAAAATGCTTGAAAAGAAAGCTATTAAATTAGAGGAAAAAACTTGAGACGCTTAAAAGAAGAAGATAACAACAAAAGTTGTTCAAACAAAAAGAATAATACTTAGCTCTTTACATGTAAATGATGAAGATTGTTGTCAAAACATTTGAAAACTCTCTAAAATGTGAAGTTAGCAGCTTTGTCATTTGCCATATTTCATTTTGCGAAGATATAAGACACCTTAATTATAAGTTATAGGTCATTCTGCTCAATATCATGTAGGTGTTGAGTCAAAACATTTCATGCGTTTTTTTTGTCTTGTTGGATAAAAAATTGATGCTAACTAATCTATTTATCAATGTTATCGTGTTTACTTTGACACATAAACATTGCCAAATACTATAAGTTATAACCACTATGACTAGAAGTTAGAACCCTCTCGTCTATAAGACAAATAAAATTATCGGTCATAGCGTAAGGGTAGAGATGGTCAATAGGTATCCATTTAGTTACATGGAGGTCCATTTAAGTGTAGATATGTATTCATTGTGATGGTGAGTAGTGTTTGTGCTGTAAAATACTAAAACCGTGGTTGAAAAACAAAGCAGAAAACCTCTAATTCTACAATGTTTTGTTAAATTCAAAAGTTCATATATAAAAGAAACCAAAATGATAATAGTATCCTCTCTCTACGTAGGTTTTTGGTGTCAAAAGCATGTTACTTGTGTTACAGCTTACACGAGACTTTTTAATTACTTGTGTTAGAAGGTGATACTTTATCCCAAGCAATAGTCAACTAAAAAATGGTTCTCTTTATTTTGATTTCGAACTGTGCAGAGATTTCTTTCAAGGGGATGAAGTATTTTTTGAGTAAAATTTCTTTTACAGTATATTTATTTTGTTCTGAAATAAGTTTGATGAAAGAGATGTAGAAACTAAAATGGTATCCCCAATTGGCAAATTTTGTTTTATGTATTAATATAGGTGTTCTATTCAAGGGGAGAGAAGGCAACAATAGAACTCTTGCTACAAATACAAAGACAAATATGTTATCAATAAGCAAGTGGCCCTCCACCACAGTGGTGGAGAGGAGTGTTGCCCTGGCATCACGACGTGGATTTGAAGTTGACTCCCTAATCTAATATTTAACCTAACAAATCTATCATTTGACCAAAAAAAATATTACCAATGAAATCTGGCTTTGAAACATTCAATTTTTATTTCGTTACAAAAGTTTGACTTATGAGTTCAAATTTAATGGATGACAATTGTCAGTCAAATATTTTCTATAAGTAACATTGTAATACCATATTTGTTTTTATCCAAGCGAACGGCATTCTAATCTAATCTAAATCACATCATGAACGACATTCACATTATCAACCAGTCCCATGTATATGAGATTCACACTTCCAAACGAGCCCTTAATTCCCGATATGAGATTTACACTCTCAACAAGTCATCTCATGCTGAATCACTCAACGTATATGTGAATTAAAAGAACCATGTATAACCCACATTAGAATGAAATATATAAAAAAAAAAAACCAATTATGGGAAAACAATTTAAAAGCCCACCACATGAAATAGATGCGAGGGGAGGGGGGAGTAGACCCGACAGTTTCTGACATGACACGAAAATAACGGATTTCGGGTCAACACGATAACTAATTGGATCATTATCGAGTGACCCGTTAATAACGGATTCTTAACAGGTATACATGTGGGTAACACGTGGGTAACCCGTTTTGACCCGTTAAGAAAAACATTATTTGGATAATTTTAAAGTTTAATGACTAAAAGATTTATTATAAAATACAATAGCCATATTAATACAATATATTCTATATTAAATATATAGTTTTGTATTATTATTCTATATAAGTTTTAAAAAAAAGTTTTAGTCATTATTTATTTTTATTATGAGAGTTCCTTATTATCATTACTAGGATAAATTTTACTTAAAATGTTGTTGTCCAAAATTAAAACAAACTAGTATAGTATTTGTATAGGCAAGAACTAAGAAGACATACATACAAGTATGAAAAATGTGAACGAATATATAAACACTCGTGATTCATCATTATTCCTCCACGAGTAGATAATGGTTACACTTACATTATCGTTTAGATTTTTAAAATCCTCCAAACCTTCATGAATAATGTTTTTTATTTGAGGGAAAAATTAATAAAATTAATAATAATTATGTAGAAGTGTAAAAAATGTAAAATATATATATATATACAATCACTCATAGTGACAAGCTTTACAACTTTCATGAAGGGGTTAGCTTCGAAATCCAACACTATAATCCATAAACCTTAAATTTATATTTAACTGTTGATTGTCATTTACACTTTATTCTTCTTACTAAATTTCATTTTTTAGATTTTCTTTTTTGAAAACATGATCATCTACCGCATGTAAGAAGATGAACGGTTTAGATCTTTGATATCACGTTTCGATATTTACGGTTAACTGAAATATGAGTCGATGTCATATAGTTTGTAGAAACTTTATAAACATCAAGCAATATTTTCACTAACCATAAAACTTTGAATATAATATCAACGATCCAAACCGTTCATCTTTCTGCATCCTCTAATAGATCATGTTTTCAATACAGAAACTCTGAAAAAAACAAAATTTGATGAGAACAATGAAGCGTAAATGTAAACAACAATCAATGGTTAAATTTTGATCTATGATTTATATGATTATAGTGGCAAATTTCGAAGTTAAACTCTTCATGAAAGTTGTAAAGTTTGTCATTACAAGCGTTTATATAATTTTTCTATATTGTTTACATTTCTACATTAATTAAAAAACTATTAAAGATTTTACTTAATTAATTAAGCTATTAATTAATTTATACCCATTTTGTTTCAGAAGCAATGGATGCTAGAGATTCAGATTCTAGTAAACCTTAGAGATGAGGAGTCCATGGAGATTATAATGGGAACAGACTGAGATCTTGGAAATGAAAGTATAGACAATACAAATACGAGTCTTGCAAAGAAAAATGCTAGAGCAATCAATTTAGGTAAGCGAAAATATACTTAAAAGAAAAATGCGTTTTTATGTTTTGGATGTGACAATATGGTATGTATATACTTATTTAGTATTATGTTTTTCATTTGGTTATTTATTGGTTTAAAATATATTTTCCTTAATGAGTAACGGGTCCGATCATATTACCTGTTAATATTATTGGGTCAATTTCGAGTCGGATCATTTTACCCATTTATTTTAACGGGTATTACACGAAACGACTTGTTAAAATATCGGGTATGATACGAAAATGACACAAACACGAAAAACAGGACACGAATGTCAGATCTAAAGGGAGGGACCATTCCCAATTTACAGAAGA